GATCCAATAACCAACTGCCTGCAGATGTCTCCCAAATCTCGTCCTGCTTCCTGGACTTCTAGACCAAATATCCAGCTTCCTACTCAACACCTCCCCTTGGTTGTCTGTCTGATGAGCCCTCAAAATCAGTGTCCCAAAGAGAACCCATCATTTACATAACGTGTCCCTTCATCCATAGTCCTTGTTCCAGAAATATTGGGTTGTCGGAAAAGTCATGACGTATTTTTTCTGTTTTTCGTTGCAAAAATGCATCATGACTTTTCCGACAGCCCAATCCAACACTGCCGTCTATCAGATAAGGTACCTCTCCTGCTGTCCACATCCCATTGGCCAGAATATGGTCTCCACGAGGGCAGAGGTCTTCTGTCCCTCTTGGTTGCTGCTGAACCTGTGGAGACTAACCCAGTGCCTGATACACTGTAGATGCACGACAAATACTTGCTGAAAGAATGATGAACCCATTAGCAAGTCTTTTTGATCCACCTTGATTCCATTCATTTCTGCCCATCTCTACTGCAACTGCTCCAGTCCAAGCCACCAAAATCTTTCTTCTGAGCCAAATGCTTCCATTCTGCCTCCCTCCAGTCCATTTTACAGACTTCTGATATGATAAGAAAAATCTTCTCAAATAACCTCCCCACCTAAAACCCTTTAATGCTGTCCTATTGTTGTTAGCATATGAGGTCCAGGTGCCCTCACAAGACGCTCTGTGATGGAGCTGCCGCCCACCTTTTGAGGCTCATCTCCCTCCACTTATCCAGTCCTTTGATCATCTATCCTCTCCTCAAGCACACGCATGGTGTCTCTTCCCTCTTAGCCTGCACTCGCTCTGCTACCTCTGCCTGTAACATTCTTTCCCTCGCTCCGAGGGGTTGACCCTGTGCATCTTGAGCCTCATTTAAAGGCTGCACCCTCAGAGAGAGAAGCTGCATCCCTTTGAACAGATTGTTTCTTTGCTTTAAGCTCCTGTAGCTGATTGAGGATGTTTGGTGCCTCTCTCACCGTCACCGTCTCCGTATGGAGCTTGTTAGCAGGGACTCTGTCTGCCATGCTCATCTTTGTATCCCCAGTTCCTAGCAGAGTGCTCCATACACAGCAATGCCCCACTGAGGATTAAGCTGGGGTTTTGGCATCAGGAAATAGGTGAGGCCCTTCCTATTGGAGTTGGGGAGCATATTGCTTGCAAACCCGCAGTCAAGAAGTTGGCAGGTCGTATCTATGGTTTTGTTGATAGATTGGAATTTAATTAAATCAATTACACATCCCTTGTACAAATATGGAATTAAAATCTCATAGGCAGAATTTCTCCCATATATCGGGTTGTCGGAAAAGTCATGACATATTTTTCTATGTTTTTTTGTTGCAAAAATGCGTCATGACTTTTCCGACAACCCAATAGCTTTCCTGTTTGTCACGTTTTCTTTTTAAATGCAACTCATCTGTCACCTCCCCTGTGACACCATCATCCCCTTTCCCAGGCTAAGTTAGTTCCTCCCACCACTCTGCTCCCCAAACATCAGCTCCACGTTGTTAAAGGAAGAGAAAGCAGTTGTGGGCACATTGTCGAGGTTTGTTACAGGTGTGTGTGGTCAAGAAACTAACTCTCTGAGGACCTAGGTGGGAGAGTTTTTTTATATTACCTTATTCACCCAGATATGGGGATAGCTGTTTTTACCAACTAGTTACAGTCTTTGGTTCAAATATGAAGGATATAAAGACAAATTACCGAATTAAAAAATGGGCAAAGGACCTGAATAGACTTTTCCCCAAAGAAGGTACACAAATAGTGAGCGAGCACGTGAAAGACACTTATCATCATTAGCCATCAGGGAAATGCAAGTCAAAATGAGATAGTACTTCTCACCCATGAGGATGACTGTAATCCGAAAATGGCCACTAACAGGTGCTGGTAAGAATGCAGAGAAATTGAAACCATCATACATTTCTGGTGGGGATGTAAAGTGATGCAGACCTCTTGGAAAACAGTCTGGCAGTTCCCCAAACAGTTAAACAGGGCCGGCCGAGTAGTTCATTGGTTAAGAGTTGACTTGGGAGCATGAGCTCTGAGCAGAAGGGCCGCTGGTTCGGATCCCACATGGGCCAGTGACACTGTGCCCTCTACAGCTAAGATGGTGAACAACAGCTCGACCTGGAACTGGGCTTCCATGAGTCGCCGGCGACGGCATAGGCTGCAGTGAGGCTGCAGTGGGCTGTCATAAGCTACCATGAGTGGCCAACAGCCGGCGTGAGCTGCCAAGAGCCGCCATGAGCGGCTGTCCAATGGCCGGCGACCAATCTGCCTCACCCGGGAAAAGCGCAATGACCACAATACCAACATAGGCCAGTGAAGCGAGGTCCTCCACAACCAGACTGAAGAACAAAAGGACAGTAACTTCTTTGTTCCCCTTCCCTGATTTTCCAATGCTGTTCCCTCCCCCAATTCTCCAATAAAATCTTTTAAAAAAACCAAACAGTTAAACATACAGTTATCAAAATGTGGTCCATCCACACAATGGAATAGTACTCAGCCATAGAAAGGAATGGCGTACGGACGCATGTCACAGTGTGGGTGAACCTGGGAAACATGCTGAGTGAAAGAAGCCAGCCACAAAAGGACCACATGGTGTATGACTACATTTATGTCAATGTCAGAATAGACGAACCTGGAGACAAAAAAATAGATTTGTGATTGCCAGGGGATGGAGTGAGGGGAGAATTGAGACTAACTGGCGTTAGGTATGGGGTTTCCTTTTGGAGTGATGGAAATGTTCTAGAATAGATAGTGGTGATGGTTGCATAATACAGTAAATATATTAAAACCCAGTGACATGTACACTTTAAAATGGTACATTTTATATTACGTGAATTATACCTCAATGTTTGAAATGCTGAAAAAAGATTCTTGAGTATATCACCGTGTTGGGCCAGCACTTATTTACTCAACATGCTTTGTGTTCAGTAGCCTGTGGTTTCTTGTTTGGGCATTGTTGGTTACATGCAGACTGGGTCAAGATTCTGGTTTCCCTTGGAGAATTGTTAGTACTATCCAGATTAGTTCTGACAGATGTCTGTATTACTTCCCAGGCGCTACTCTTTCTGAGAGCATTGTGAAGCTACTTACCATGTTGTCCTATACTATAGCATGTCTGTTTACAATAGATGTGAACTGAAGAGAGCAAAGATTGGGTCATTTTCATCATTCTATGTGCCTAAAACAGCTTAAAATACAGCAAGTGCTCAATCAGTGTTTCAGTTTAGTGCAGTGGTACTTAACCCCGGATAGTTTTGTGCCCCAGGGGACATTTGGCAATGTCTAAAGACATTTTTGACTGACACAGCTGGAAAGGTGGGTGCTACTGGCTTCTGTATGGGGAGACCAGGGATGCTGCTAAACATCCTATGATGCACAGGATGGCCCCCACAACAAAGATTTATCTGGCTGAAAATATCAGTCATGTAGAGATGGGAGAGGTTCAAAATCCCTACTCAGAGGTTGACTGAGTAACTTTTCAGTCCCCCAAATTAATTCCATTAGAGGATGAAAACAAAGTCCCTTCAAGAAAAAGTAATAGTGACAATCATCCTTGTATTTGGTGTTCTCAGTTAATGAAATGTCGAAGATCATGTGTTCGTAACTCTTAAATTAACCGAATAACCAAGTTGGTGGGAGAGGCAGATCAGGAGGAAAAACTGCAAGGCGATTTGACTTCCCGACCTTGACTAAGATGTTATTAGCTTGCCTGAAATTCAGTCCTGCAGCAGAAAGCACGTGGTAAAATGTGCGCTGCTTGTCTGTTAAAGAGCCAGGGGAACATTTTACAGTGTATTTAATATGCATGTGGAAACAACCCCAGTCCTCCATAAAATATACAGCTCAAATCTTTTCTTCCAGAGTCTGGCAGCAACCTTGTCCCATACGAAGCCAGTAAGTATGTAAACATGGAGTGAACTTCACCCATGGCCCAGAACACTGAGGGGCACTGGTGGCAGGGCTCACTTGATCAGGGGTCCGCGAACTGTAGCCTACAGGCCAAGGCTGGGTGGCCTTCTGTTTTTATGTGACCCATTAGCTCAGAATGGTTTCTACCTTTTGAAATGGCTAAAGCTAAATCAAAAGAATGCACTATTATATGACACATGAAAAGTATATTAGGTTCAAATTTCAGTGTCTATAAAAAAAGTTTTATTGAACACAGCCACGCCCATCTGTTTACTATTGCCTGCGGCTGCTTTTGCAATCAGGCAGAGACTGTATGGCCCACAAAGCATAACATATTTACCATCTGGCCCTTTATGGAAAATGTTTGCTGACCTCTGCTCTACGGTTAAAGAGTTTAGCAAATTGTGTTTCCAGGAAGCAGTGAGGAATGAGAAGCTGCCTGGGCTGGAATCCCCGACCCCAGCTCTGCTGGGGAGGGGTCTTTTCTCTATCGAGCTGGACGTTCCTCCTTTGTTACATGGGCGGGCTTTGCTGAAGAATCTCTAGAGCCCTTCCAGCTCTTCCCTGTCTATAGTGTGTGGAGATTCCAGTCTGTTCAGTGGTTCCCAGGTGGCCAATGGGATAAAAATGCAGTGCTCTTCTCTGGGAGAAAGCCACGAGGCCATGTAGTCACACGACCACACTCTGCACTGAAACAGACACAGATATGTGTAGCCACTGTGTCTACAGAGAATAGACTTGAAAATTGGCTTTCTACGATGTTTGAAAGCAAACATTTGGCCACTTTCATGTGAGCTGGTTTTATAGATTCTGCAACCCAATTCTTTTTAACACAGGAGAAAGAAAGAAATGAACAACACTAATTATCGGAAAAGACCGGCATGGGATGGGAGCACAGGCTGGCCACCCAAATTTCAGGTTTTGAAAATTGAATTTAGCACTGATGGCAGGCTTGGTGAAAAGAACTGGTAATGCATCTCTGCTGCTCATTTAGTAGCAGGGCAGGGTCTCTGTTGCCCTTTCTGTTTCCCAGTACTGACACGTGGCTTTTTATCCACAGTCCAAGCGATCAAGGGTGGTCGGCACCAGCTCTCCAGCCTGGGGTCTGTCGCTATGGAACCAAGCTGGCCTGCTGCTATGGCTGGAGGAGGAGCAGCAAGGGAGTCTGTGAAGGTAATTTTGTAAAAACTCAGACCACCCTGTGCTCGAGGACTAGGCCAGGGTCTTCAGCGTTTTACCTGTGACACCATAGCTGTCACCAAAGCCAGTGGGTTCCTCAGCAGAGAGACATGGATAACTACCAACCTCCAAACTCTGGCTTCCTGTGAGATGTCTTCCCGTCCAAAATGTGGCTGGCACCATCAGGTTAGACATGATTTATTTTAGGAGAGCTGCCTTGCCACTTTTTTCTGTCGCTCTGTTAGTGAGCATGGCTGGGTTGTTTGTTATTGTTTCTAGTTTAATCTGGAGAAACCCAGTTGGGCCAAAATAGGCCAATAAATACCTCCTTCTAATTATGATTTTTTTCCAATTGATTTCTAATGAAATACACTTTTTAATTATGAATCACCCAACCAGTAGGCTTTAGTCACAAACATGAAAGTAAGCCATTTACTTTATAATTTTCTTACTCACATTTTGAAAGCCCATGTGCCAGTTTCTAGATGGTTTCAAGGATACATGCATATATGCAAAGATTTTAAGTATTTTTCTGATTTCTGTGTACAAATTTCAAAGGAAGGAATCACAATCTGCCTTGGACGTTGTTTCTCAGACTGTGTGTTAGGAACTCCGAGAGTCCTCTGATAATTTCAAGAGGGCTGGGGAGGACAGGAATTTGCATAGAGCTTTGTTTTTTATATGACTTTTTTATATTACCAGCACTCACAGTGTAGACAAATCAAATCTGCATTCATTCCTCCTGGCTGACTGTCTAAGCTGGGATGCACTCCTTTGGGGCAGAAACCTGGCCTTACTGTCCCTATGTCCCTCGGTCTCATATGCCTGAATCTCAGTTTCATCTGTTAAATAGGGGTAAATACACGACTGCATGTCCCATACACTTTAGGTGCTGGTGTGCCTCATGTTAGATTATAAACTGTAAAGCACAAAAATTTGGCTGTTTTTAAGAATAACAATGCTGCCTTCTCTTTGCCTAACCCCCTCCTCTCTATCTGGTTCAAAAATATCTGGGTAGACCATAGATGAGGGCAGAACTTGATGATATCCTAAATCTAGGAAATATTGGAAGACACTGATATTGCTCCTATATGCTCATATGCAAAACCCGCCACCATCACAGCTTCTTTGTGACTAGTTGACAGGACTATGCAGATACTTGAAAAAATATTTGAAGATCATTATTGCCCCTCTAGATGGAGAAAGTTAGACATCCCCCTGGGACTGTGTCTATTAGAGGGGTGGGTCCTCACGCTGACAGTGTCATAATCAAAGCATCGTCTTGAGAACCAAAATGATGTGCATGATCTTGGGCAAGGTAGGCTAGCTCACTTAGGCACCGTTTCCTCTACCGCATGGAGAGAGTGATGCCCACTTCAGAGGGTAAGGAGGATGAGCATTAAAGGGCATGGTATTCACCTGGCACACATAGAAAATACCTCATAAATTACCCTCGATTCAGGAAGGGCTAGTAACTCATCACAGACTTCCGCCTGTTAGAGCACCAGGTGATGGAGGAATTAAGTGTCACTTTATTCTTTTTCTAGACACAACATAGCACATTTTTATTTGAAGGCAGTCAGGTGGAAAGGGGCAAAAGCCAGGTCAGACACATGATTTGGAATCTCTAAGTCACACGAACATCAGCACCTCCTGCCATAAAATTTGCATGTTTCTGGTGAATAAATGAGGGTGAGCCTTGGCTTTCTGGAAGGGCTGTTCTGTAACTGGATCAGAGCAGTTTCGCCATGATGCACACAGCCAATCACATTCTCCATGCTTTTGTGGATGTTACGATACCATAGTCATGAAAGAATTTCAAGCAAGGTGTTAAAAGAGCAAGTGCAGAGGGTTCAAGCAAAATGCTCACCATGCACATTTGGCAAGCTGAAGAGTTTGTCAGCACCCCCACTGCCCCAGTCAAATGTTCAGGTTAATACCATTGAGTGAATTTTGTATCTAAAAAATCTATGTTATAGTTCATCCTGGACAGAAAAGTCACAGGCTCCTTGAAGCACCAAATAACAGGGTGGTTAGTCCCTGTTGCCAGGTCCCTGACTTGTAAGCCACAGGGTGGGCTTTCCAGGGAACAATAAGAGATCTTCAGGGCTTAAAAAAAAATTAAAGATTACTTTTCTAACATCTAAATTTAAAGCTACATCTCCAAGTAGTTATGTACAACCAAATAGACACTGGAAATCAAATTGTATCTCTTTTGTCTCCAAAAGTGGAAGAATTTTGCTTGGAAGCATTCTCCCCCCTACCTTCTCACTTATGATTTATTCAGGGCCATAAAATGGTGCCCTGTTAAAAGTTCTACAACTATTACTTTATTTACTATTCAAAACAATTTGAGTATCTAACTCAAATATGTTCGCAGTGCTGTTAAACACAGCAGGGGAACAAAGATGAATGTTGAAGTCCCTGTTCTGAAGGCGCTTAGAATCAGGTGGTAGATAAAAGCCAAATATATGTCTAATTATGTAATAAGGTGGAGGCTGATTGATTTCACGAGGGAAGCCTGCCAACGTTCCAAGGCGCTCTCAGAGTTGAGTGGAAGTTCACATGTGGCTGCAGAAACCTGTGAAGGGTTCTGGAAGGAAAAGCTAAGCAAGGTAGTCCCTGCAGGATCTGAAGGATATTAACCCCGGGAGGGGGAGGGGGGTGGGGTGCCCCAGGTGGGGTAACAGTAGAAAGGAAGAGGCAGAAAGCAACAAGTAGGTCTAGGGGATGGCAGGCAATCTAGTTCGAGCACAGTGCTGCCTATGTGTAGGGAACAGAGTAAGCTAAGGCTGCAAAAGATTATGGGGGCCAGATCACAGTTACAATTCATGTGGCTTATTCAAGAGACAGTAAAGATTATTTGATGACTTCTGTACAAAGTATGGCATGATCAGACCTATGCTTTTGGAATATCAGTTTAGGCTCATGTCTGACAGCAGATTTCCTAGGATCAGAGCCTGTAAAGGGGATTCTTGTACAGATAGTCTACGGAGGGGTGCTTTCAGGAGAAACCTGTAAGGGCATGAAGGAACATGAAGAAGCTGGGCGAAGCTCCCTGATCCCACAGGGAACCTTGGGGTGTCCATTGCACCCCAGAGTTTGTCCTGCCCAGAAACCAGGGGCTAGGGTGTTGGATTCCTGCATCATCAAGTACTGGTCACAAGCAGTGGTGGGGAAGGTGGGGAGAAAGGAAGGGTGTGGTTAGTGGTCCCCATTAACCAGATAAATATTTCTTCAGTGAATGATCTGGTGGTAGGAACAGAGAAAGGATGTTGTAACTGTCTGGTTTGAGGACAAGAAAAAAACAGAGATGACAGATTATGACTCCAGGTAACTGGGAGAGGAATGGTGACATTAACAAAAACGAGGGTCTGGAGTGAAGGAGAGGATGCTGGGGTCTGTAGGAACAGGCTTATTTAGAGGTGGACCTACTATGAGCCATGGAATCAATGGGCAAAGAAGTGAGCAGCATTCCAGGGCAAATGCTGAGTCTTTCCTTCATACCATGGCTATTTCCTGAGCTCCTACTAGATCCAAAAACTGCTGAGGCTCTTGAATCCCTATGCCTCCTCTCGCTCTCATTCTGTTTTTTTCTCTGCCTGTCTTTTCTTTGGTTTTTCCCATTTTCCTTTCTTTTCTATCTACTGCTTTTTCTCCCCATCTTCTCCCAATGAGCTAAACTCAAACTTTCCAAAATGTTTGGAGGAAAAAAAATCTTTTTTTCTTGCCCCCAGTGCAGTCAGCTAAACATTCTGTCCTTGTGTTTTCTCCCACGACTTCGTTCAGAAAACAGATATGGATTGAGCGCCTAATGTGTCTCAGGTGTCTGAATACAGAATAAAACAGAAAAACACACCCTGCCTTTGTCATGCTACCACCAGCATCACCACCACCATTATCATCATATCATCATCATCGTCATCATCATCATCAACCTTTTTGTTCCCATCCTTAGGCTGGAGGTAGCTCTGCGCCCCCCCCTCCCACCTCCAATCTGTGGGCTGTTCATTTCTACTGATAACACACAGCATTAAAAAGATTTTGGTCATTCAAAGGGAAAGTAGAGGAAATATGGAAGCAAAAGAGGCAAGTAACAGAAAGAAAAAGAGGGATCTTAGCGCTTGCTTCAGGAGTCTCTTCCAGCTCACACATTATATTTCTTTTATTCAGTCTATTGTGTTGACATGCAAAACTGGCTGATTGAGATCTGGGAGGCTTTAGTTCTCTTTGAATGACACAGGAGGAGTGGAAGTGCTTAGCAAGTTTAAAACAACTCGCATCATTGGAGTGGAGGGGTAGTAGGGTATGATCTAGTTCTCAAGCAAAACCCTCTCCAGTATCTTAAAGGTGAAACAGACCAGAGAGGAAGCAGACCATCCCCTATATGGACCCATGGAATTCTCTGCCGTACAGAAGGCAGCTGAGTTTGACACACATGTGTTTCTCTGTGCTAACTACTCCTGTTCTTTTATCTTTGTTCAAAACGCCTTTTCTTTTCACAGCTACTTGTGAACCTGGATGCAAGTTTGGGGAGTGTGTGGGACCAAACAGGTGTAGATGCTTCCCAGGATACACCGGGAAAACCTGCAGTCAAGGTCAGTCCAACGGATCAGGGTCCTAGTACAAACTGACCCCAGACCTTTCCGAAGCATTTCCAACACTGCACTGGGGTTTGTGACACAGGGAAGCGCTCAGGATTTCATAGGTCTGAACTCGAGACGCCAGATGAAAGTGGTTTGAGAACTAGAATTTTCAGACTTGTCTCACAGAAAAATATAAAAGTCATTCTGATGCTTTTGTCAAGATGCCAGATAAAAGGGCTCTTTTTCGCTAAACAAATACTTTTACTGCATATTTAAGCTACCGAAGTAATCCATATTTTTCACTAAAAAAATCAAACAATGCGAAAGGATGTAAATAAAAAAGTGAGTGTCCACCCCCAGTCCCTACTCTAGCCATAGTTAGCAATTTGTCCTAGTCCCCTGCTGGCCTCTTCTGTGATAGTACAGGCCTCAGTATTTCTCATGGGCATCTTCGCCTGTCAGCATACACAGAGCCACCTCATACCTTTTAAGCCTGTATCCTAGTCCATAGTACAAATGCTTTTACCATTTATGTAAACAATACTTTAACCACTATCGTCTAAGTTGTCTCCAATTATTCACCAAACTAGATTAGACATCATTCAATGTGTATCCTTGTACCTTGAGTGGGTATTTTTACAGAATAAATACCTAAAAATGGAATTGTTGGTTTGAATGACATGCATATTTTTTATTGTAATTGACATTTTAAAAGGACACTTGTGACTTTTGTCAAGGGCTATTTAGCGGAAGATATTAAAGAGTTTATTTATAATATTGAGAATAGTGGTTCTCAATCTGGATAATTTTGTCCCCCAGGAAGAGTTGGCAGATAAAATACGGATCCCCAGTTAGATTTAACTTTCAGATAAACACAAATAATTTATGCTCCAAATGTTGCATGGGCTATATGTACACTAAAAGAAGTACTAGTCATTTATCTGAAATTCCAGTTGAACTGGGCATCCTGGATTTTTATTTGCTTAATCTGGGAACTTTACCCCAGTGGACATCTGAAGATGTTTGAAGGGGTTACCACCAGCATCTAGTGAGTAGAGACCAGGGATGCTGCTAGACTTTTTACAGTACACAAGGCCACCCCCCACAATGAAAAATGGTTTGACTCAAATGTCAACAATGCTGAGGTTGAGAAACCCTGGCGTGAAAAAACCTGCAACAATTAAGGAAGTGTCCTCAGTCCTATAACGCAGTTGAGCAAAGAACCACAAATCAAGTTCAGCTGCCCTTAAAAACAGCTGCCAGTGGCCAGACGAGTGGCGCGTTGTTAAGAGTTGGCTTGGGAGTGTGAGCCCTGAGCAGCAGGGCCTCCAGTTTGGATCCCACATGGGCCAGTGATGCTGCGCCCTCTACAGCTAAGATGGTGAACAACAGCTCGACCTGGAGTTGGGCTGCCATGAGTCGCCGGCGACGGCGTAGGCTGCAGTGGGGCTGCAGTGGGCTGCCGTGAGCTATTGTGAGTGGCCGGCAGCCGGCGTGAGCTGCCATGAATGGCCATCCAATGGCTGGTGACCGATCTGCCTCAGCTGGAAAGAACGCAATGATCACAATACCAACATGGGCCAATGAAGTGATGTCCTCCACAACTAGACTGAAGAACAAAAGGACAGCAACTTGTCTGTTCCCCTTTCCTGATTCCCCAAAGCTGTTCCCTCCCCCAACTCCCCAATAAAATCTTTAAAAAAAAAACTGCCAGGGTCCTAGAAGGGAGAATGGAGTTGCAGAGAAGTGCAGGCACCCACTCCGCTCTGCCATGCCCAGCCCTTGCCCCAAGTGCAGAGGTTAGCTGTACACACAAACAGCCTCTCTTTGAGCTGCCAGCCCTGCAGCCTCAGAGAGGAGTCTTTTCATCTCCTATGTCCTACCACCAGTATAGAGGCCAGCGCCCTAAGGTGCTTCCTATTATAAAACCGCACCCAGCTGCTTGAGAGAGTTGCATCCCAAATCATGCTCTCATAAGTAATAATTCAGCTGTACCCTTCCTAGTGGTTTCACACAAGGAAACCTATTTTTCCAAATGTCTTGGATTCTGTACCAAGATGCCTTCTAAGAGGTTTGAAATAGAGAAGATACTTTTCATGCTGGTTGTCAAGTCTCAGTGAAATATTAGCATTGATGGAGGGGTCCAGTTGACTCAAGTTTGAGACTGTCTGTGTTCCTCCCACAGCCTCCCTGCCCCAGAGCAGCCTGATCAAAATCCATATATATCCATCGTTAATGGCAATAGGCCTCAGTCCTCCACTGATGTCTTTCCCAAAAATGCTTCTTCCAAGACAAGAGTGAGTCACTTCTGAGTTAGGGCCAAGTGAGTGTATTCCTGGATTTCCCATTGTGTCCAATCAGCATTCTTCAACTGCCCCTTTTGAAGTGGCTAGGATCCTTGCGGGAGATGGTAGGGTGTGGGGGATAGGCGATGGAGCAGGAGCTTTCAGATGTCCAGCTGGGGTGTCGGAAAATCTCCATATGAGGTCCTTTCCAGAGGAGAAAGTTGGCCACTTCCTTTTTTTCAAGGATACACTTGCCTGCTGCCATGCTGAATATTTGTCTTCAGAGGAATGTGGTTGTTTTCTAGTTCTCTATCTTCCTTAAGGGGTAAAGACATGAGGCACCCAAATGACAGCATTTGCAAACACAAGCTCCTCTACCCATGATCACTTTCAAGGTTTTATCTTCCTACTGTATTATTTTTCATTTTAATAAAAAAGCTGTTGATTCTTAATGTTTAGAATTATTTTTTATAAAACACTGAAAAGCACAGAGAAGAAAGTCACCCTCAATCTCACCAACTGAGAATTAGCATTTAGAGCATAGCCTCACAGGCTTTTTTTTTGCCTGTTCTTTTCTTCTGTTTTTTTTAATTTACAAATTTGGTATTGAGGAGCCTTCTAAAATGTTACCCACTAGGAGTGGTAAGGAGGCTGTGCTGTCGGCGTCTGTCATAGGTTGTTTGGGATTAGCATTAAAGGCAGTATGATCTCAATTGTTTATTGATACCTTTTTACTCAAGCAGTACATACACAGAATTGTGCATATATCAAAAATGTACACATAAATGAATTTTCAAAAATACCCTAGTAAGTGGTATTCAAATCAAGAAGCAGAAACTCAACAGCCTACCCGAAAACCCTCCCACTCCCCTCTGGTCACTTGCCCCCACCCCCAACAAGGAACCATATCTTTTTTTTTTTAAGATTTTTATTGGGGAATTGGATGGGAACAGTGCTTGGGGAATTGGGGGAAGGGGAACAGACAAGTTGCTATCCTTTTGTTCTTCAGTCTAGTTGTGGAGGAC